CCCCAAAACCCCAAAACCCCAAAACCCCATAATACTTAGAGAGAGAAAAATCTTGAGAATCATATTTATTAATTAAGTAAAAGCCATGGAATCTTTAATATCTAAAGTGGAAGATGTCTCCAATAAGCATAATATCCCAGCAGATGTAATTCAAGATCTATAATATTCTAATTAATGATACCTCCTATAAAACAATCCAACTTATTAATCAATTCTACTAGAGATTTGTGGTAAAGGAAGAAGTTAAGTAAGCTTTGTAAAAAGGACAACCAGTAGTCGCTCTTGAGTCAACAATTATCACTCATGGAATGGAATACCCAATGAACAGAGATACTGCCCTTGCTCTTGAAGCTATAGTCAGAGAAAATGGAGCTATCCCTGCCACTATTGCTATCATTAAAGGAGTTGTTAAGATTGGTTTAGAAGCTGAAGATATTGAACTTTTAAGTTCAGAGGGAAGACATTCTTCTCGTAAGTGCTCAAGAAGGTAATGTCATATTAACTTTAAGAATCAAGAATTTTTAAACAATACTTAATAGAGATCTTGGGTATGTGCTTGCCACCAAAGGCAATGGATCAACAACAGTTGCTGCTACTATGTATCTCGCAAACCTTGCTGGAATCAAGATATTTGTTACTGGAGGAATCGGAGGTGTTCATAGAGGAGCAGAGACTACATTTGATATCTCTGCTGATCTGACTGAATTGTCAAGAACCCCAGTTTCAGTAATATGTGCTGGAGTTAAATCAATTTTGGATATTCCCAAGACTTTGGAGTTCCTTGAAACAATGGGAGTACCTGTGGTAAGCTATAAAACTGACTGGTTCCCAGACTTCTTCACAAGCAACAGTGGTATCAAAACAGTGTTCAGAGCTGATACTCCAGAGGAATGCGCTGGTATCATATAAGGAAATGATATTTTGAAACTAAGAAACGGAATTATCTTTGCTGTTCCTGTCCCATCAGATAAGGAAGCTAATCAAGAAAATATCCAATAAGCAATAACTTAGTCTTTGAAAGAAGCAGATGAAAAGGGAGTCAAGGGTGCTGAAATCACTCCTTTCTTGCTTAAAAGAGTCAATGAATTGACTGGAGGAGAATCAGCTGCTTCAAGTAATATAATCATCGTCATTTCAATTGCATATAGATGTTGAACTGATTAAGAATAACGCTAAATTAGGAGCTTAGATTGCTGTTTCACTATCAGCTCTTAGTTAGTGAATGAATTAATCACATGGTCAAGGAAGAAGGATTACTATTATAGGAGGTGCTGCTTTAGATATTCTAAGTCAAAGTGAAAGCTACTAAACAGATTCAGGTCAATCTCACGTGGGTAAGATAAAGATTCAAGATGGGGGCTCAGCAAGAAATGTAGCTGAATGTGTTGCCAGACTAGGTCTATACTAAGATGTGACATTTATCTCTGCTGTTGGTGATGATGACAAAGCGGACATACTTAAAAAAGGACTTCATAGAGTGAAGATAGTAATTATTCGATTAAATAATTACATTTTATAGGATATAAATGGTCTCTTCGTAAAAAAAGGGGAAAGAACAGCATGTTTCAGTGGTCTAATAAATGGTCAAGGAGATTTCTTAGCTGGTATCGCAGATATGGATATTTTATTCCACATTCCTGAAGAACATTTGAATTTTCATATGATTGAGAAATCTAAGATATTAGTAGTTGATTCCAACATTTCTGAGGTGACATTATCTTACATTCTCTCAAATAGCAGCAATGTAAAGTATGTGATTTATGAGCCAATCAGCAAGGAAAAGAGTACTCGTATTCTTCATAAAGATTTACTCTCAAAGATCTAAATTCTCAAGCCAAACATTCTCTAACTTAGAGATATCTATTTGACAGTGAATAGCAACAAGCTAGATTTATTGGATTTTGACATCAACACTAAGGACCTGCCTACCCTACTTGAAAGTGTGAAGTTTATGGCTCTATCTATATTAAATCACGGTAAGCTCATTTCAGCTGATGGAAATTCTAAGCTTACTTATATCATTACAACCCTCGGTGCTAAAGGTGTGGCGTTGTCTAGTGTTGATGGATAATTCTAACATTTTGGCCCATTAGAATGCCCCTTGAATGAAATAAAAAGCGCTGTAGGTTCTGGTGATAGCTTCCTAGGAGGTCTTATCTATGGACTGTACAATGATTAAACACTAGAGAAGGCAATTAACTACGGCCAAAGATGTGCTGTATTGTCTCTTAGATCCGAAAGCAATATCTCCCTTGATATCAATCCTAATATTCTTCTTTGATTTAATAATTTTACACTTTATCATTAATCATAAAAGGTTATTATACCAAAATTGATAAAGTTTTGGTTTATTATCCTTTCTGGGGTTTTGGGGTTTTGGGGTTTTGGGG